AAGGCTAATCCTAAAAGTGATAAAGCTATAAAGTGACTGTAAAGTTCAACCAAGCTTCTTTTAGGGCTTCTATACGGGTACCATAAGGTTCTCTAGGGTGCTAAGGGTTTTGGGGGACGAAATAGGGTTTAGGGTTTAGGGTTACACCATGTTGGAAGAACGGATGCAAGTAACTACAAGCATAAGCCTAGTTGCTCCATTCATAACCGTAGCTATTGAGGCCCGTTCCTTGAAGCATCGCGCCGCAAAAAAAGCCAACATTCTTACGGGGTTCGTAGGCCTATTCCTAAACCTAGGCCCCTAAACCGTAAACCCCAAAGCCTCAGCCCTGAACCTTAAATCCCAAAACCCTAAATCCCTAATCCCTAAACCCCTAATTTCCTACACCCTAAACCCCCAAAACCCCTAAATCCCTAGACCCCAAATCCCTAGGCCCCTAAACCCCTAAAACCCCTAAACCCCTAAAGCCCTAAACCCCTAAAACCCCTAAAGCCCTAAAACCCCTAAAGCCCTAAACCCAGGGTTTAAAAATTTGGGGCCTTTAGGGTTTCTGCAGAGGGGCCCTTGAGGGTTTCTGTACGTGTCGTCTTCCAAACCCTAAACACTAAACCCTAAGAAGGGTTTAGGGTTTAGGGTTTAGGGTTTCTTTAGGTCACCGAAAATAATACGGCACACTTACAAAAGAAAGGGCGCTAAGAGGGACCCTAATTTAGAGAAGTACCCCAAGCATGTTGGGTTCGAAAAAGACGCATTTAGGTTTCGGGGTTCCGAGCTTTGGCCGAATGTTCACGCGGGTTACGCAAGGCTTCACAGGGTGTTAGGAACGGTCTCTCAAGCTTCAGAGGCTTTGTAAAAGAGTTGCAAAACGGCCATAACCCTAAACCCTGAACCCTAAACCGGCTTCATGGATGTATAACTATGTATGGACTGCATACGGCTTGTATCAGAGTTTCACCTGGCTTTGTTGATACTTGAGGGTTGCACAAGGCTCTATTTTCTCTACGTCTCTTATGGTTTTGGGGCTTCAGAGGGCTTTGATCAGGGCTTCTAAGGGTTTACTTGGAGGGTCGGGGACTTACTAACTGGTTATTTTATAGACTATTAAGTACTATAACCCCAATTAGGGTCCCTTTTAGGGTACTTATAAGTCTACTTATTGCCTACTTACTAAGTCTCCCGACCCTCCAAGTAGGGGTTTCGGAGGCTTAAGGGGTCAGTCATGTTGGGGGCTTCGAAGGGGCTAAGAGCGTCGTACCGTTTTGGGGACCTCAAAAGGGATCCTCCTTTGGAGAACTAGCCGCGGTATAGAAATAAGCTAGCGAAGCCTAAAATTGATCATGACCCGGTTGAGGTCTTCTGACTGTACCCACTAAGTCCCAAGAACCTTTAAGCAGGGCCTTGCAGATGCTTTTTGGGGAGAGTGTCAGCCAAAAACCCAAATCTTAAAATCCCAAACCCAGATTCTAGGGAGGGAAGCTCTTGTAGATGGTTTTTGGCTTGGGGCTTGCCGTTGTTTTGTAAAACGGGTTCTAGATGAGGAAAACAGGGTGCTACAAGGCTGTTAGTGTAGGCTTCAACAGTTAGAACATGGTTCCTCTTAAGGGTTAGTGTAAGGGTGTAGTATGGCAGCTTTAAGCATTGGACAAGGGTTTTGGGGTACGTGATCGTGTACTTAGAATACTTTGAAAACCCTAAACCCTAAACCCTATACCCTAAACCCTAAACCCTAAACCCTAAACCCTAAACCCTATACCCTAAACCCTAAACCCTAAACCCTAAACCCTAAACCCCTAATAAGGTACTCTAAGGAAGAAGACTGTAGTTTTCCTGGTCTCATATTACTTAGGGGCTGAGTACCCTAGCCCAAAAAAGGTTAACCTTTTGAATTATAGTAGGATTATAAGAGCCCCAAAAGGTTAAAGGTTACCTACTCAGCCACTAAGATTAAGGGGTTTGAGGTTTGGCGGTTTGGGTGTTCGGCAAGTTTGGACATTTGTAGGACTCGAACGGTTTTCGGGTTCTTAGTCATGAATGCACGCTGTATATATATATATATACATATAACCACACCTTGTGAGGCAGTTAAAAGAGTTAAAAGGCGCCTATGTAGGAAAATCTGGCTTGGGCCTTTCAATTTCAGCCTCAAGCCTTAAACCGGACCCCCCAAAGGATCTACGAAGTGGAATTAGGGGACCCAAACCGTTATCGTACCCGTATGGGAACCGTTTAAAGGGGACCCTGTTCTAGAACCCCATACCCCATAGTACCCTTTAGAGGAACCCCCTATAGATTCCTTAAAGCAGCCCTTATTATAGGAATCCCGACGACCCCGTGGGGTCTGCGATGGGATGCTGAGGGAAGGGCGGAACCATGGCACTCTGCCAAGGAAGCATCTCGACCTCTGCAACTACCAGACAGTTCTGTAGGGTTTGGGGTTTAGGGTTTAGGATGTTTTTGTACGGGTTTAGAATTCCTAGTTGGGTTGTATAGGAGTTTAAAGAGCTGTAATGTAGAGGTCTGAAGAATCAGAAATAGTATCCCTCTATAGTCCATATGTCATTGTGGTGCGTTATGGTAGACCCCGCCCAAACGGACTCCAATCAATCAAGCGTCTAAGAAGGCCACATCAGCATACAAGCCACCCGACAAGCAAAGATCGGGAGAGAGTGCTGCAGAGATTGCAAACAGTGCTCGCAGTTCCTCGGTCTTTCCCACTCCCTCCCGCCGCATCAACGCGCGTGGCTACATACATTTTAGCTTTTAGGGCATTGGGTTTAAGGTTAGTTCAGCCTAAACTGTATTCTCAAACAGCGATACGTTTAGAGAGTTGTTCCAAAGACTCCAATATCCCTTAATTGAGGAATATACCTTAAATTATAGTAGGATCCCTAATATGATTTAAGGTATATTCCTTAATTAAAGGGGTATTGGAGTTTCTAGGAATATCAGATGGTCACGGCTTCATGTTCCGCCTGCACCCCCTGAAGCCCTAAGACCCTAAGGCAACAACCTAAGCCCTAAACCCGAAACCCTCAAACCCTAAGGTTTAGGGTTCAGGGTTTAGGGCCAAAGCCCTAAACTGTGACCCTAAACCCTCAACCCCTAAACCGCCTAAACCTAAAACCCCAAAACAAATCATCGCTTGATTCAAGCCACGAGTTCTACAACCATTTAGCCCGGGGCCTCGTAGTTGCTGAGCGCACGGGACTTACAAAGTGCAGTTCTGCGTGCCTTAAAAACTGGGGTTATACTTACATATCAGCAGGGTTTCCGTATTTCTATCCTGCAATCACTAAGCCCCAGCATCCTCTAAGTAGACGCCCCAACCACCCTTTACCAGACCCTAAACAGCCACTGGTAAGGGCCAATAAGGGGCTCTACCCAAAGACTCCAATATCCCTTGATTAGGGAACACACCTTAAACTAAGTAGGAACCCTAATATGATTTAAGGTCTATTCCTTAATTCTCATAGTACTCTTATAAAAACCCTTATAGATTCCTTTAAGGAGCCCTTTAAGGTATATTCCTTAATTAAAGGATATCGGAGCCTCTGGGTGCTAAGGGCACCTCGAAGGTGCAGGGGTCTAGAGTTCCTTCTCAAACGCGTAGTATATGGGTTTAAGGTTTAGGGTTCAGGGTTTATTCTTATATGTGGGTAGTTCTCGAAATTAGGGTCCCTGTTTAGGTCCCAAATAGAGTGCGGCATTCTTATAAAAAGGACCCTAAAAAGGGAACCTAATTTAGAGAACCCCCCATATGGGTTTAAGGTTTAGGGTATTCTACCCCGAAAACCCATTCTAACTGTCAAGGCCTTATATAAGTATAGTATACTATACACCAAAACCCTATTCTGCCTAAAAACAACATTCTAGTGATGAAGGCCCTCTATGAAACATTAACAGCTCCTCGACCCAAAAGAAGCCAAAGACATCACACTGAAGTGCAGAACTAAAGTTAACCCTAAGCAAGCAAATCCCTTATGGAACCTTCTACCCAGATCTTCCAGTATCCCTGAATAAAGGAATATACCCTAGACAATAGTAGGAGCCCTAAAATGATTTGAGGTATATTCGGTAGTTTCGGGCTGTTGCAAGATCCAGGTAACGGCGCCGTTCTGGTCTCTATGGATCCCTTACAGGAACCTGAGTAAACCTATAAACACTAAGTCCAGAACGCCCCCAACACCCCCACACCACAAACGTTAACCTCCCTCATAAAAAATCTCTGAAGGTCTCTGTAAGAAGCTTCAAAACGAACCCTTATAAACGCTAACCTTCCCTTTAAAAGAACTCTAGAGTTCTCTCCAACCTCCCTTTCAAAGAGCTCTAGAGTTCTCTTTAAGGAACCTTTAAACCTAAACCCCAAACCCTAAACCCTCTTTTAAAGGAACACAAAGACGCCAATATCCCTTAATGAAGGAATATACCTTAAACCATAGCAGGATCCCTAATATGATTCAAGGTATATTCCTTAACTAAGGGATATTGGAGTCTTTG